TCAGGACAACCTTTACACAATCTTATGAAAACAGCCTGAAAAAACAAGTTCCCTTTACATGTATTTTGGTGCCAGGATGTATTTTACTGTATGTGGTTGCAGTGCACTGGCATGTGAAGTGTGAGCTGTATATTTACCGTCACCCTGGCTGTCTGCTGGTGTGTACCCGACCCTCACAGCCCCGTTCTACTTCACAGGACAACACTGGAGCCATTATGGGGAGCCATGTGTTTCTGATTACCCACACACAGATTAGAGGGAGGGGAGCAGCGGTTGCTGTCTGCTTGCCCCCCGGCTCCTATAATGTGGCCAGCAAATGGACATCCATCAGTGCAAATCCCTCCGCCACCCTCGCCCCATTCCCACTTATACTCCAGTCCTTCTCTATACACTTCCACATTCAGTTCCCACAATTCAAATTCTGTTTTTGAAATTCATGTGCAGATTCTTTTCTCAGCTCTGACACTTTTATTTACTACAATAAATAAACCATTGGACTGAGGTTCTGTAAATCTGCACTCCATTGTTCTTCTTCTTCTTCTTCTTCTTCTTCTTCTTCTTCTTCTTCTTCTTCTTCTTCTTCTTCTTCTTCTTCTTCTTCTTCTTCTTCTTCTTCTTCTCTGCCTTATCCTCTTCCCAACTTTAAATATGCAAACACATGTTGGTGAAATTATTTTTAATTTGACACAAATATTATTTCCAAAGCACCAAGTTGTCATCGCTGTATTCTTAAAGGTGAGCCTTTGTTGCCAAATATTGTTGTGGCTCTGCTGTGTGACCTACAAAAGACAAGTATTGCGTTTGTTGTAGCTTCAGCAATGTGATACTTATTTGACCTCAGCCGGGAAATTCTCTTTTGATCAGCCCCCCTCTCAGAGGTCAGAGATCAGGGTCCGAACACCGACACAGAGAGTGTGAGGAATCAATTATTTACAGGACCTTTCAGCAGTGTGACTACGTGTTAGAAAAGTGGCTGAAACCAGATTGTTAAACTGAGGGGACACCAGCATTCAACAGGCCACACAAGTATGCACAAGCAGTCTTCACATCATTCCTCTTTTTTCCTTTCATGATTTTTAAATACTACACAGCGAAGAGCGAAATTATAAAACGCCCAATATCCTTAATGTGACAGAATTCAGGCACTGTTACCACTTATTTGAGGTCTTTCTGCATTTTCTGTCAAAAATGTTTGAGTGTATGCAGGTATTTTTTACTGGTCTTTTTCTTTAAGGAAGTGGTCATTACCATTGTCGGTGGAGCCCTTTCTAACAAGCCAGATGGTGCTTAGAACATCAATGTAAAATCATTTCCTAGAGACCCACCTGTGTATGCAAAGCACATCAAAATTCTTTCTTCATTAAAAGTAAAAGAAAAAACTGAGCCACTAACATTTTTTAATCCGCGGAAAGCACTTTATCACTTAGACAGAGATATTCCAATCACCATTTTTTGGGTGATTTTTGGTATGCTAAGTTGGAGCCAACTGTTGGACTGTGCTTTGAAATCACTATTAGTTTCTTTCTTGTTTAGGGTTGGTTGAAATAACATCAAGTTACTTGAAAGACAGTGCATCTCATACCGATGCTAAAGGGGGTCTTGTGTGTCGGTATCAAGATGCTAATGACCTGCCCAAGCATTGGTATTTGTCACCCTGGGAGTGTCACAATGTAAAAAGAGGGTCTTATGCAGCCTACCTGTGTGGGGCAAAATTGGAGACACTTCTTTTAGGTTAATAGCTAATTCATACTTAGGGCGTTGTTATTTCCTCCATGAGCTGTTAACTTGCTTACGTTAGTGTTAGGATATAGACATTTTACCCAATTACCCCTTTTTGTATTACTTTGTCAACTGCCAATATTATTGTAATTTAAACTATTCGTTATCACTTTGTTAAGATCACAATCACAATCTAGACAGCAACAACATGACAATAAAATGATAAAAAAAACATCTTTCTATTTATATTTTGCATTATAGGAGAGGAAAACAAGGAACACACAGGAAGTTTGGAGTTTTCTTAACCAGATGCCATGTTGTTTTATGTATTGAGCTGAATAAACTTAGTTTCACAGTGGAGGAAATACAGTTTTGTGCCTCGAGCCTGAACCTCCATGAGGTTATGTCCACTTAATGTACAATACACAGTGCAGCACACTGGCATTGTATTGAATGAAGCCCTCCACATAGCCCTCACTCCTTTCAACACTGCCTCTCTTCTTTATAAGCAGACTGGAGCGCAGCAGGCAGACAGGCAGCAGGCTTCCCCCCAAGATGCCCGAGGGCTCCAGACAGATAAACACACACACACACACACACACACACACACACACACACACACACACACACACACACACACACACACACACACACACACACACACACACACACACACACACACACACATATACACTGTGTTTATGTTTATGCACAAAGTTTAATTTTGTATTCATCTCCCTTGGTCATCCTTAGGAATACATGTCCCCTCTAAAGCACAGAGAAATAAGACTTCAGAGCCAAACATTTCTCACTAAAGACCCTAAGCAGAAACACAAATTGTCCCACTGGCTGGAAGGCAACATCCGGTGCTTTGGAGAAACAGGAAGTGTGTGTGTCTATATAACAAGCTCTCCGAGGGAGGCAGGATTACAGTGAGGTGTTTAAGCGTTTGATCTTTTGCCAGCTGCAAGTGTTGCAATTTGCAAAAACTCCTACTGGAAAAAGTTGCTCATTACGGATTATGTAAACGTCTTCATCGTCCATGAGTCTCTTTCTTTAAATCTCTGGTTATACATGGCTGCGTTTTCCCCTTTGTCAGCACATTAATGATAACAACATCCCCTTTTTGGCATGCGCCTCATGATGTAAGCTGAAACATGCTGAATGTGAACATATGGTATGCATCCACACTTATAGACTGAGGAGTCACCCCACCCCCACTGCTCATTGTGTTACCTACCCTCTCTCATCAACTTTCTTTCTCTGCATCGACTCTTTTAGTTACTTCAGACATTGAGGGAAACAAAAGTGGAACGTTCAAACACAAAGATATAAACTCCAGAAAGAGAAGTGTACAGGCCCATATATTTACGATGGCTGCAGAGGGGAGGAGACCTCGTTAAAATAGGGACTGTTTTACAGCCATTTGACACATAATCTCAAACAGTACATGCAGAGGAGGCTGTAAACTGCAGAGCTCTGTGTCTGGAAAAGATAGTAACAGAGAGATGGTTTTGCTTCAGCATTCCAGGCAAGAATGGTTTATTTTAGTTGGAAACATAATTGTCTTTGGCTAGGATTTGGAAGTACATTTTACCCGCCAAACTGCTGTAAAGTCTACATGAGGGTGCTGCTGCCCTCTTGTGCTGACCTGATGCACATGATTTGCTTTTTATTTACAACATGGAAGGCTTCTCAATTCTCTAATTTCCCCTACTCGACTCCTCGACTCCTCGGTCCTCCGGTAGTGACCCGGAAATGGATTTCAGCGCGCCATGTTGGAGGACATGTCATTTCTCTAAACGCCTGCTGTTTCCACTCCTCTCTCCTCGGTTCCCCTCCTCGACTCCTCCGCTCGCATCTCCTGTGGGCGGGACTAAGACACGAGGATAGGAGTCGAGGAAGGGAGTCGAGGAGGGGAAATTAGAGAATTGAGAAGCCTTCAAAGAGTAGTTTTGAGGGAGATGGATGTTTCCTAATGGGCAGTGTTTTTCTGAGTTCTGATTTCATACACCAATACTTAATGGGATTGAACATTTCTTCTCATGCAACTACAACTCATTGCACTGGTGGGTGGCAGATTCATAGTGGCTGATGTTTTACTTCAGGATCTGCATTATGCAATAGAACAACTTGTCATAAGATAAACATTTTGGAAAATAACCTGAACAATGCAGGGCAGGCAGAGAATATCATTCAAAAAAATGTAAGTTAAAAGAATAGTTGAGATATGCTGTTTTGCTGCTTTTTTGGACAGTGTTAAGGGCCTGGCAAAAATAAACTAATGTTGTTTTCATTGCTCTGTATGAATTAAACAAACATATAAGTTGGATTTACAGCTATATGCAAATGAATTGTAACTGCGCCTGCCAAGATTCTTTCCCCTGTTCCCCATTTTTATGTAGGTTAATGGTCATTATAGTAGAGAGAGTATCTTCAAATTTACATTTTGTATGGAAAAAGCATAATTTTCGTGTAAGATTGAAAAGTCTAGGCTACAAAACTAAATATAATTATAAAATGTTTTAGTACGACTTATATGAGTGGCAGTTTTTCATACTTTGTTTGAATAAGATGATATTTATTGTTTTACATTTGTGAATATACATGTTCCTAAATTATACATGTGACATGGTTATTTCACCTTTGGTATCATTTGGGATTATGGCATCACCACCAGTAACAAAAAAAAAATACCTCGGGATCAATATACTTTTAAATGTTGTTTGGAAGTTAAGAAAAGTTTCTTAAATAACATATTTTCAATTAAAGTGACAAATGAGAACAAGTGATTTATTTCCTTAAGGACACCTGTACAAATCCATCTCGTCTTAGCTTCCCAGCAGTTATGAGAGTGTGGCTGGCGCTTATTGGCCATCAACCACCTGTAAGTGAACTGAATGGGAAAAAGTGATAAGAGCGCAGATGTTCTGAGGTGTCTGTGGACTCCCAGTAACATCTGATGTGGAAGAAACTATCAACTTTAAAGCCGGGGGGCCTCCGTAGGTCTTTAGACATTTCCAAAACATCCTAAGAAATTAAACTGAAGCAAAATAGCATTATGGCTTACCAGTGGCCCACCATTTGGATCATTTAGTATTTGTGATAGAAAACCAACATTAAACAGTAAGAAATATCTAACACATGAGGGCACTGCTCCCCTACAGGAATGTGCTATGGTCTTGTCCACCCTGATAACTGTCCAAGTGGATTACAGGGTTAGTTATTGTTGGTAATAACTTAGGCAAAAGCACCTAAGGATACTTATTTGTCATTCAAAAATGTGGGCCTTCTTAGTGATCACGCTTGTCCTGGCTGTCAGGGCATCAGACACTAAGAACAACACAGAGGTTGAAGAACAGCTTGATATAGCTAGAGGTAAACTGCTGGTGAGTACATATGGAAATCCTTCCTGGGCTATATCCAAAAAACCTTCATGCTGATATCTTGCCATGTCTATGTTCAGAATGTTGTGATATTGGTGCAAGGATGAGATGGTCTGACAGTAAATAAAGACATAGAAAGAAGACAGAGGTCACAATAAATAAGCAATATGTTCTATAAATTAAGTTATGTGTGATCATTTAAAAACGGGATGGTTGGGATATGTAAAAACAACTAAGGAGGATATATTTGGCTCCAAGTTTGAGAAAATCTCCAAGATATGTATTGTTGAATTCGATGGATTTGGCAAGAAACTTCATCATTCAGTGTAACCCTAACCCCAACCCTAACTTCCCAGTTGACTAATTACATGTTCAGTTTTCAGGAGAGTTATGTTAAAGTATGCAAATAAGGTATCTAATCTACAGACACAAATATACAATGTGAAGTAGAATAAAGACTTAATTGAGTATTTTGGATGTTTTGTTTACCATTATCGGAAATAAGACTTATTGGAGCAATCAACAAAATCTTAAAATTGAGCAGCACATTTAAAAAGGGAAAATCCATGTGCTATCATGTCGGTATGCATTCTGCTGAGATACATATATATATCAGGCACCTTAGAATGAAGCGTGCACAATGCTTTATGTCATGCTGCTTTAACATCTGTCTGTGTTCGTCCCTGCAGGCTCCCAGTGTGGTCGGATGAGGCATAAAGAAAATGCCAGAGCTCCATCATTTTCTTCTGGAGCGCTGGGCTTTATAGTATCCTTGTTCTTTTCAGTTCCTCAAGACTGTGTGTTCAGATGTGACCTTTTAAAAGAAAAACACCACAGATGTTCTCATGACCTCCTTTATGAACAAAACCATGTTTTTAGCAAGTTGCAAAGTCCAGTGCCAGCTTTCCAAAACTCTTCCAAGTTAAAATCATGTTGAGTAAGCCCAAAAATAGCAAAACAGATGGTTGTTTTTTATTCTTCCCAACACTGCCGACCTGTTGTTTCCCTTGATCCCTTCTTTCCTGTGTAGCCACAACTTGGAATACGATTCATCGGAGGAGAAGAATCCCCATCTGATATTCTATAACCAAAAAGACGAGGTTGTAAAGGTGAGATGTGAGTTCAGGGATCTTTTACACATCCCTCTTTTGATGCGGCTTATCCCGGGAGCTCCAGGATGTCAGGACAGACTCATGCAGGGAAGTTTAAAGACTCAGATCGTCTGACAGATACCAAGTCACACAGACCCAATGTATTTGAAAATGCAAGACAGAGTTACACAAAAAAACAGATGGCAAGAAAGTGGAAGAGTAGCAAAGTATATAAAGTGTTTGTCAAATGAACAGTTGACTGAAACAGACAGTATGGTGAGTTGCTGACTTTAATTTTAGCATTTGTATGCCCTGAAATTACAACTTTGTAATGTTTCCTAGTGTTTTTTTCTTTTTGCAGTTTAGAAAAGCCACTAAATCTGCATTCAGGTCAGCATTAGACAATAGCAGTTTTATATAGCCTTATCCTTGTACATGCACAAAAATAACCCACTGCTGTGATTTAAAAGTAAACTGTGGATATGCTTCCTTTAGCTCTCACACATTATTTTTGCTCCAATTATGTAGGAGTTTTTCTAGTGTCACATTCATATTCTAATGTTCATTGTTCCATTTTAATTTCATATTGTGGGCGCCCTCTGAGACTGTAATTTGACTTTATATGAAGATTTATTTCAGACACTAAATTGTAGAAAAATGTAAATGAAAATAAATGTGCGGGAGAGACCTCTATATCAACAGTATGAAGGAATCAATTATTTGAATATGAACATACTGCATGTCTGCTAACACATCCTTGTCTGCATGCATCTCATTAACACTCTATTACTACTTTTAAACCTTTCACCATGTGTCCAAATGTGTTTTCTTCCCGACACGTCAGACTGTTCCTGTGAAGGAAATGAAGGCAGAGGAGATCAGCAGCCTGTTGGACTCACTAGGTTTCTACAAGAGGACCCAGAAAGGGGAAGAGGTGCCAGAGGAGTTCCAGCAGTTCCCCCTGCGGCCCCCCAAGGACGAGCTGTGATGACACCATGTGGCCAAACGCTGCCACTGCATCCGGGTCACATTAATGACGAGTGGGGCCCCAAGGCTAAAACGATAAGCCAGGCACCATTCCGAGGACCTGCTGGCCCGGTGCGGTGTGCAGCAGCGTGTTAGTCATCGCTGTGTTACTCAGTTTATATGCCTTAAATAAAAATAAATAAAAAAGATGGAGTGGATTGAGTCATTGATTGTGCCCGAGGTCCCTGTTAGGCTATCTGGAAAGCTATACCCTTGTGCATCACTAATGTAAATGTTTTTTTTTTTCAGGCTGTGTTATTGCATAACCTCAACTCCTATAAAAAGTATATTAAACATTGTCTAGCTAAAATACAGACACCCAGACCCTTAAGGACAAAAGTGTCCCCATTTAAACTAATTTAGAATAAGAAAAATGATCCCGCAGCCAGCATTAAAATAAAGCTTCTCAATATCTGGCTTTTAATCAGGAGACCTGGATTCACATGTTTTGTTTTTTTCTATTTTCTACAAAATGTATAAATTGTTCCATGTTTCCACTATGGGGGTAACGCATTCTCTAATGCTGCACACATAATACAAATGCATCTTAATCAATGTTTTACCATTATTCCAAACAAGAAAATCCTATCATATATTATACAGAAATGTATACATTTTGTATCTGTTTTTTCAGTAAAAAAACAGTTGTATTTTGCAAGCACACTCATATTTAAAGGGTTGCAGTTCTGAAAATGGTTCTATGAATGAATAAAAGTTTTAGGTATGATCAATTTGTATAGTAGAACGGATGCACAATTAAGGAAGATTTCCTTTTTTCTATGAATCTACACTGTTCCGTAATTCAATTTAGTCCATATTTGACTTCGTAAAGCTTAAATAAATGTTGAATACTCTACTTTGATAAATAAATTTGCTGTGCATCATAAACGGCCACTTACTGACTTACTAACAAAGTGCCATGCTGCTGTCTCAGCCTGATCCTCAACCCGCCTCCCCCGCTATAATCTGATTAGCAGTGGAGTCTGGCAGCATGCGTCTTGTGTGTCCATTTGTATTTGTGCCTTCATCCATTTGTGTACTGTGTGTGACTTAATACAACAGGGATTGGCAATGCAACACAAACACAGTTTTGGACCGTTTTGCTTCCTGATTTCTTGACTCTGTCATGGTTCCCAGCTCTACCCACAATGCCTGTGTTTTACTCACCTGTTCCCGAGACCCTGCAGATGGGTCTGGCCTACATGGGAGGCTCTGTGTTTACTAACAACAGAACAGCAGACAGCGACTTCTCCAGGGAGCAGGAGGACGCTTCGGGTGGGTTACTGTTTCTATCAACTGTTACCAAATAGTGTACTGCTGTGCAGTATAATATATACATTACATCACATTATAGTGATGCAATAATGTGGAAAATATGGAAATATGTGTTACTGAAATAAAATCTAATATCATGTTTCTATGAGGGATAGACAAAACATTGTGAACACTACTCACAAAGAAATAGCTTTAGTTGGCTTAGCACTAAAAAGAGTAAAAACCTGTTTTTCACCAATACTGGTGTGTTTTAACCGCTTGTTTCAAATCTAGTCCAAGATTACATAAGATTTTGTGAAAATAAATGGGGCTCAGAGTCTCAGAATAATGAAATCTGTATTTTTTAAATCTTTTTTTCCTTCTAATTTGTTATTCTTTTCAAAATAACATACTGTTATTTACTCACCAATAACACACAATTATCCTTGCTTTTATTTATTTGTTTAGTTCCATAATCTCTGGCTTTTTTGGCGTCCGTCAGGAACTGAATTTCAAAATAAAAATAACCGGAAACAGACGTAGGCATTTCGAGCGATTACCCAAGATCCTCAGCTATGGTTTAAGCTCGCCGATTGGATGTTTTTAGCCGCAATGCATGTTGGGATTTCGTGTTTATATGATATGAAATCGGAAAAACATTTTAAAAGAATAAAAGAATACTTAATTCCGAGTGTTCTTGCTTTTCTCTTTGAAAGTCATCACATAACGGCATTGTAATACACGGTTCGGCTGCATTACATATTACAGATCTGCCGTAGTTCTTTATTTATAGAGCCCTGATGAGAAGACCTTTGGAAAAACTGGAAGAAATGCCGCCGAAACTGAATATTCGACGTGGATCATAAATATATCAACAATTAAACAACATCTTCAATTTCTCTTCACACAATACGTCTCCTAGCAGTATCAACACTAATTCGGCTGACTTTTACATTTGATCAATTGTTGATAGGTTATATTTACACCTATAACGGTGCACAGCTGATATTAAAAGGATTCGTAGTTTTTAAAGTATATTACTAATTTCTTTTGAATATGAGAATGTAAATACTGAGTCTGAAATAGTATTAGCTAATATGCTGTAAAATTATGTGAAAACATGATAAAACTACACATCTTCAGATGTTGTACATACATAAGTGTCCTATAATAAAAAGTTATTATGGCTGTGTGCACCTTGTGTGCACCGCCTAGTGGTTAAAGCACGTTATTGAATTATTGTTTTTATGTGTTATATTTGATTAAAAACATATTAAGTAGTAAATACTTGCATAGGGGAAAGCAGAAGGTCAATGATAGCAATAGTAGAATATAAAAAACCAAGAAGATACTATAAGTGATCTCTACA